TGATTCTAATTATAGACTATTATCATTACTTTGACCAGTGATATTCAAAGGCTACACTCTTAGTGATACAGTACATCATCAGAGATGCTAGCAGGATACTGAGAAATGATGCAAAATATGACTGAACAAAACCAGGGACGCCATATCCCGTGGCATTCTTTATTGTTATATTCTGGAGAGAGAGAGAGAGTGTGATAAAATTGCAATAAATTCAATTTTATTGCTTTTACTAATTCTCCTGCTTTGTGTTTAAAGTAGATCCATATCTCTTCGCTACTGTTTAAAATGACAGGCGGAGTTGTGAAGAATATTACAAACAAAATTAAAACTAAAATAGAGGAAGGAAGGAGATTAAAAGATTGTCTCCTTTGCTCTCTCTCTCTCGTAACTAACTCAAATTAAGAGTGAACCATCTTAGCCACCAAATTACACGATTAGACGATAAATTCTCCCTAAATAATATCAAAATAATTTTTTTATTTTATTTTTTTTATAATTACCATATTAAATCCCATGAGAGAGGTGACAAAAAGAGTTCCCAATTATTAGAATTAATACTGTCAGAAAGACTTGACTGTGGTGTTCTTCTACATGGCTTGTATGACTCAACATAACTGGAGGGAGGGAAAGAAGGTTAGAAGAAGAATATGATATGACACAGCGACACTGTTTAGCGCTTTAATTCAACGGAGTTTTATTATGCACAAAAACCTTACACTTTTGGTGTGACTCCTTTGGCAAATGTGACAAAAGCAATAGGGAGTTTGTGAGTGAGGGCGTTGTTCCTCTCCATGGCAACAGCAACTTTTAAATGATCGACTTTAGTCAAATAAAACTCCTTAGCATCAACCTAAGGAGAAAGAAGAGAAATATAAACTGACGCTGCTTCTCTCTCTCTTTCATTCACAAGATCATCATTTGAGCAGCTGCAATTTGAGGAGTGAATCATTCGTTTCCTGCCAGTTTCTACTTCATAAGCTTCGGCAAACTGCAAATTATTATTTGCCTCTTTTCTAAATTAACAAACAAAAACACATTCATTTCAATAAATAAATAAATAAATTTACAATTTCTTCCATTTCTTCTGTAAATCGTTGATGTCATAGGCAAACCTAATGTCAATTATCTGGGTGCCTGGCAACGCCTCTCTATAAATAATTAATGAGGTAATGATAATGATCACAGAGACATATGTAGAGAGGAAGGGGGGAGAGAGACAGAA